GAGGCTCACCTTCGATCTCTGACGTGCGAGTAGTGCTGTCCAGTGGTCCTTCGTAGGCTGCGGTAGTTGGGTAATCAAAGTATCTGTCCCTAATGTTTATCACGGTTTCGACAACGCTCGTTCTCCCTTCTTGTGGAACGTCGGAAATTCCACTATGGTAGAGGCTCACGCGTTGGCTTATTGGTTCTCGTTCTATATCCTTGACTCGATTTATGCTATCCATTGGGCCTTCGTATACTTCTGATATGGGATAGCCGTTCCTTAAGAAGCCGCTGATATTCACACCAAAAGTTTTCGCAGCTTCCGCAACATCAAAAATTTCTCCCTCTTCGGGTTTCTCTGATTTAGGTGCCCTTTCACCTGAGCGTCCACTTTGATACATGCTCACGTCATAGGTAAGCGGCTCTTCTTCTGTTTCTGCCATACGATAGGTGCTACTAAGTGGGCTTTCAATTGGGCTATCGGAATAATCGTAGTACATGTCCTTTATTTGGAGTACCGTCTCCGTAGTAGCTGCTGTGGTCGGTTCTTGAGGAATGTCTGAACGTCCAATGTGGTAAACGCTAACAACGTTGTGTATCGGTTGAGAATCAATATCTTCTTTCCTCCTGGTAGCTTCTAAAGGACCATGGTATGGTTCTGATACTGGATACTCATAAGGGAAGGATTGTTTTGCAAACAGATTCATTATTTTATGTCCAAGCGCTTTGGCTATATCTGCCGTTGTATCGCTTGTTTTTTCTTTTTTTGTGGGAGGCTCGTCGGATCGCCCGCTATGGTAAACGCTGACATGGTGAATAATTGGTTCACTCCTTATATCTTCATTAGGAGATGTGATTTCCATTGGTCCATTATATGCAGCAGTTGACGGAAATCCGTAGCATTTGGTCGGCGTCAAACTTTCTTCCACTGTCTCAAAATCTTCCTGACGCTCCTCACTCGTAGGCGACTTCTGTTCATCCAAAAATTCTATCTGGAGTGGACTTTTCTGTAGTCTCCCTATCTTCTCTCCACTAAATGAGCTCCCACTTGAAATCATTTCTACCATGTCAGTGCCGACGATAACAATGTCTTCATCTTCTGAAGATGTGCTTATGGTTTTGAGATCAATGCTGCTTTGAATGTTTGTTGTGGTTTCGCTGTCACTTGTTGAGGGAATCTGATCATGTGGGTAGGTCACTGAAGTATACTCAACAACTTTCTCTTCCGTTGGAGCTTTTTCATCCTTCGCTGATACACCATTGTGATAGACGGTTACCATCTCCATAATTGGCTTCTTTTCCAATTCTATCTCTTTGGTTATCTCTTTCGGAGAAAAATCGAGATCAATGTGCATTCTCGCTCTTGTTATAGGAGATAGTGGAGCTTCAGATTCGGTCTTTCCAACGATCATATATTGAGGAGAAGTTGTTGGAGAGGGAGCAAGAGATACGTCCACCGTCAAAGTGTTGTCGTCAACTATTTCAAAATCATCTGACAGTGAATCACTATCGCTGACCTCTATCATTCTGTACGTGGTGGTTGTTGTTGTAATTATGGTTGTTGTGTGCCTCGCCTCGGGACATATCAGAATACCATTGAACAATGGCGTACCATTAGCTGTGACACCGGAAATCAAAGGCGTTCCTTCACCCTATAAGTGGCTTATCTACATTCACCTTATCATAACTATATGAAAAGCGATATATGCAACAAGCAGCATATAAATATTATATCGGTAAAATATTTTTCTTTTTACAACTGCTAAAAAGCAATCAATCTTAGTTAGTTCTCGAAAAAATCATATCACGACTCATCCGATATTACCTGCATTGTTGTGACGGTAGATGAAACTGATTGGCTGGTATTCCCAGAAGGTGAAAACGCTAAAAGACGTGCTGGAGCTATCTGCTCGTCCGTGAGCGTGATAGGCATTTGTAAGATTTGAACCCGTTCAGTTGTCGTCACCGTTCGTGATTGAAATGGAGAAGTTGACCTGAGATTAAAAGTTGTTCACCGAGATGTTTTTCGAATGGTTAATTACCGTAATGGCGAAAGCTCCGTTCGCTCTCTTCGCGTTACAGTCCATGTTGGCCTTTCTGACTGCGAATCTGAATGTGTATCTGAATTTGACTTTCAAATGTAGAACAACTCATGAGATACATAGGAATTTAATTAGCTTGCCAGTATTCATCAATTCTCTCTTATAAATAGAGGTTAGACAAGCTTTGTATTTTGGTATTGCTTCATCATACCGCGAGCAAGAAAAAACAAAACAACTTCAAAACTTATTTTCTTGTTCCAAATCCTTGAAATTTAAGCTCTTTTCCGCATCGCATTTGAACGCAGCCGCATGTAACATTATTCGTTCGGTCATATAACTTCATCTGAATCGCTTTCACAACCTATACAAATTTAGATTTTGAAGATTATAAGCGCAAGTTACATTGCAAAAATTCAATCAACTTTGCAAAATACACAAGGTAAATTTAGCAGCGCAACGTTCCCTGTATTGCCTTCATTTCGTCAAAAAAACAAATAAATCAAGTTTGGAATGGAATAACTGACCTGGGGGCGGTGGCAAATTAGGTGGCCTTCCGCGGCGTTCCGCCATTTAGGGCCTGAAGTCAACGAGATGATATAAAATAGTCACAAGAAGCTTATGATGTGTATGACGAACAGATATATACGCAAGTCGTAATATCAGAAGAAGACCAAAAGAGAAAAAGAATAGAATGAAAAGTAGATGATTTTAAGGAAATTACATCCACGTAAAACAAATGAAGGCAAAAGAGAGTATATGTTGATACAAAAAAGAATCACAAGTTTTAGCCCTTCAAAAAAAATGAGTGAAGAAAGATGAACTCTAAAAAATTGCTCTAAGATTTCCTGAAAACGAAGAAAGAGCTAAAAGAATAGCAGCAGCACTTTATAGATGAGATTCTTAATAGTTTTGTAAGAATCTCTCAATTTACCACGGGCAACTAATGCCATTTCTGCGTCCAATTTGAACCGAATGTCAGACTTTACATTGAGTGGGGATTACTGTTAGTGAACTCCGTCACACTAGCTTCGCTCCTGCACCAACCCTATTTCCAAATCCATTTTCCAAAGTTAAACATTGCCCTTTTCGAGAGGAAATTCTTGAGATCCCAACTGGAGACATCCATCTTGTGCAACTGTGCCTCCCTACCCTTGTTCACTGACGTAATTCGCCCTCGTCACTCTGTGCTCTCGAGTCGTCGCATATTGGACGATAACGAGCTTTCGCTGCAGAAGACAATTAGAATTGCAGAGGAATTGCTGTGCTTCGATTATCAGCTGAAAATGCCCAGGTATTCAAAAAACCATTCAAAACTTGAAGGGTACGTAAAAGAGAGAACTTATGCTAAAAAAGGGATCTTATCTTACTTTTGGTTAATTCAACATTACATCATTGAAACGACTTTACAATTGTTTTTACGACAGTTTCCGGACAATGAAATTTCTGCCGCTTCTATTGATTGTGCGCCTTCCATTTGAAGTGCTAGCTTGGCTTGCTTTTTGGACGGATAGCGCATGCTGTTGGGCCAACTGGTACAGCTAACTAAAATTTCCAAAGTTTAAGCAATTCAAGAAAAGTGAATAATTTTTCAAAGAATGGAAAGAGCTAAAGTCAAAATGAAAGTCATCTGTCGTGCGAAATTTCTACAAATGTCAAGATCCAAAAAACAGCAATTCCATTATTTTGCACCGGGCTCGTGGACAAATTTGACAAAGAGATCGTTTAGGAGATAGCAGCTCGGTTTTTTGCGAACATGTCGCAAATGTTGGAGCAGAAAAGATTTTAGAGGAAAAAGCTGTGCTGCCTTGATTGCCTTGGCTCTGACGAGAGAACATTAAGGAAGATAAAGTTGAAAAGTTAGTAGCTCCTAATTCTCTAAGAAGAAGTGAAGCTTTTTCTTCCTTTGACAAGAGCAAATAATTCAACAAATTGAGTAATACATCCACTGTGTGGCCATTCTCGCCTTTTTTTT